TTGACAATTTCACTTACTATGTTATGTCTCCTTACCCGTTCTCGGTTAATTGCAACCTTTTTTTTGTCATTTAATTTAGTTACAATTCATGAACCCTAAATTTCCATCATGTCATTTAATCAAAAATATGTTACAATTAAAGGATACCAACATTCAGCGCATTTGAAAGATCAAAAGGAAGAAAAAACAGTGGTATTTCCTTTCCATGCAAATAATCGCGTGTTCTCTTAATATCACAGTTTATCGAAACCATAAATTATTCATTGTTCCTCTGAAATATCATTTCATCATCAAAACTCAAATGCCACACACGTACACACACGCGCTCACGCAACTGAAGGTGTATGCTCTGCTTATACAACAATAACAGTGAGTACACATTACGTATAACGGAACAAGTCGGGTGGACTCGGCTTGCTATGTACACGTATTGAGTATACGCGCGTATGTAGTATGCGTGACGCAGATCATTGACTTATAATAGACGAGAGATAACACATTGACTCACGTATCGATTGGTATTTTTTTATTTCATCGTTTAAAATCGTTTGATCAATAATGAGCCATGAGAATTTGCGAAAACTGACAAACTGTCACACTTCTTCTTACATTGTCTTTTTACCTTCTGGGAGAGTAAAAAAAAAAAAAAAAAAAAAAAAAAAAAAAAAAAAAATGCAATTTGAAGGATACTTGTGGAACGCGTTATTTGGTCGATTGCCATCTCCCCCCAGAGCAGCCATTACGGCAGCGAATTTCCTTTCTCCCCTCCACGGTCAATCGTCTGGCTGGGATTCTCTCCCTTTTCGCGTTTTATCCTCTTACGCACGCCAACGTCGATTAGGCCGATGTTCAATCTTTCGTGATATCATCCGCGCTTCAGCGTGTGTGCACGTGTATACGCGTGGGCATGGATTTTTCTTTTGTCTCGATGGTTTTTTTTTTTGTTTTTTTTTTTTTTTTTCCTTCATACTACACGTCCGTCTGCCCCGGCGAAACAAAATAAAGCTCAAATTTTAGTTTCAAAGGGACCAGGAGGACGAATGAGCGCGAGATTGCCAAGGGCATGAAATAAAAATGCATTGAGCCGTGGAGGAAAGGAGAATGGAGAAATTAAAGCTTTTGCTGCTGCGCCGAGGGGGCAGACACATTGAGAAATTTGCTCGCCCCGTCCCTTTCCCACATTCATTTATTGCGCGTGTAGTACTTCTGTTGATTGCATGCAGAGTCATTATTAAGTTTTATATTAAACTTGTACTGTTGATAAGTGGGTTTTTCCGAGTTTAGAGTTTTTTCGAATGATTCAATATTAAATTCACTGATTAAAAAAAAAAAAAATAATAAAATAAACGATAGATCGTCGAAAACCTTAAAACAATTTTCATTTCTTTCAAAAATATTTGTTATATTACCATAGATTAGTTGTTCGGAATAAGTGTGTGTAAGTGTATACTAACGAGGTATAGAGTATGGGCGCGAATCAAAAAACACTTGACGGAGAAGGATGAAAAGTTTCAAGTAAGTGACGGAGGAGCGGAGATGAGAAGAGTACTTATACATACATGGGATGCGGGAACTTGTTTCGGCTGCTCTTCAACTGCACCTCTGACAGCTCGTCCGTGCAAGAGTAGTCCTACGGGTGAATACATGTTGGCTAATAATATGTATGTATGCAAGGCTGTTGAGAGCACGTTTGAATTAGATTTTTTTTTTTTTCATTTTATACAACGCGAAGATGAAATTAGGTTTGTATTGCGCAAACTACGTGAGTGATGCGTTTTCGAATTTAAATGGAAATCGGCCCGCAATTGACACATTCGAGACGTAACGTAAAAATATTCCGTTTTTAGTTACAAAATCCTTCATCACTCAAAAACATATTGCACTCCTTGATTGTCACAAAATTGATAAGGGTGTGCTATGTTGGAAAACTTTAAACAGAGGATAATCTACTTAATGGGTTTTCTAATGTTTAAATTTTGTTTACCATTTTTTGCTTTTTTTATTGTCAAAAGCCAGCCGTTGTTTTTAGTATAACCGTCTTACAATAATCATTCATACATTGGAAAGTTCAGAACAATACCTTGCAAGGGAGGGTAGTAGTGACAAAAAGTTTCGTACATCAACATATTTGGAGTTGAGGTAGTATAGTAAATATAATCATCAACAGTAAGTCTTTTACTAATGACCAGTTGTAATTCTTGATTTGTTGGGGCTGAGATAGAAAATCATCACGAACAACACCTTACACATTTTCTCGATATCTCCTCACCAAAAAAGTAATCCAATTAAAAAGACTCTATGATACGGCTACATCAATAATATTGGCCACAGACACTTACAACACATAAATGAATGCAAATGAAACCAATGTATGTAACGCGAAGGAGAAGCTATAGATACCCAATGTACTCCTCGAGCGTCTACGATTAAGATCTTTGAGTAACACAGCTGGGTGCACTGAAGTTTCATGTCACCAATCAAGTGCAACATGTGTTGTTTCATTTTTTGCTCCGTTGGGCATGTTATATCAGTATGCAAATTGAAAATTCTTAGAAGATATTGATTTCAACATTCACGAGAATATGATATTGAGCTCGAGGAGCGCAACACTTCCTGAGAGTCTCGAGAGACACGTATAAAATCATCGCGACTCAATTTTCATTCCGTAAAGACTCGATTAACGGACCATCCGATCTGTTGAAGGATTTGAAGTTTCCTAATTCAAATCATGACAGTCTGACACTTTGAAATTTAATTTCAATTCACCGGGTAAGTATATGCATCAGCTGTATTTCTCTCCGTCACTTCCTCTCCGGTCCATCGACCTCCAAGATGAACTCGACGAGTCAGCAGTGTGACTCTTCTCGTACATACCTATGCAAGGGTGACTCTTATCGAGCTACGTGCTTCAAGTCCACTATGTGATTGCACAAAGTACGTACAGGCATGTGCAAGGGTACACGAACAAGGGGCAGGTATATATACCCTCAGTGCTGGAGCGGTGATAAGATTGCGATGGAGTTTTAAGATAAATGATGACTCAATAATCCATTTTCTCTCTAGAGCTATTTGGTTGAATGGAAAAATGATGGTTACCATAAATTATGCATTTGGTTCGCTCATTTAATCTTGTATAACTTATGTTCTTGTGCTCATAGTTCCCATAGTGCAATCAAATTTGACTTTGATAAAAAGAGTGGCTGAAAAAAAGGGATGAAAGGAGAACGAAAGATTTAGATCATAGTGTATGTACCAAAGAGTGACAAAAATACAACAGCGTGTGTGTGTATACGATGGCATGCACGTATCGCAAAGAGGGAGATGGAACGAGTGGAGTAAGTTGGAATCGCTCGCGTTGTGCGAGTCAGATTACACGTGCGATTCGTGTAATAATTGTGCAGCTTGCGGAACAACAAGAAATTCCAATTAGACGGTCGCGAGGGCGCGTTATTTATGAAGGGCATCCTTCAATGTTACTCACGTGCGAACGATTTTCTGTACGTGCGTGGTACAACAACAACGTGTGCCTCCGCTTGCCCCGTGTGCCTCCTCGCTTTTGGAAAACTCGGCTGTGCGCGACGCACGTCACTCTCATACTGACTCCTATTGCACGTGCCATCAGTCGAACGGTTTTTTTCTTTTATTCCCCGATGCAGTGACTTCTTCGAGTTTTTTTTTTCTTGTACGTCATTTGACAGGTCTAGAAAGTTGTCGTTCTTGTTATCCGTCGAAAATCGGATACAAAGTTTGTTTTTTGCGGATGTCGAGTTTTGGGAATTTATATTGCTTTAAAGTGGCGTAAGTCATCCTTTGCTGTGAGTTTTAATTTTTTCTGACTCAGCACTAAATAGCTACGGAGAAACAAATTGAAAATTCGTTAATATATCTGACAGTGTGTCCCACTAGTTACAATCATGTTGTAGAGGCATAAATGTACAAAGGTAAGAAAAATAAAAAAAAAGTGTTGCCAATCTTTTGTTTAGTCTCTTAGATTCGATGATATTATGTATATGTATTTTTACCTATTTAATGCAGTAAGATTAAACATCTTTTTAAATGTTTGTGTGTTGGGGAAAAACAAATAAAGCTGCAGTGTCAATGCGTTGCATGCAAATTGTAAAAGAAACAAAGACCATCTGGGCGAGGAGGCAATTTATAAAAAGCCCTTTTATGCCCCTTTCAAATGGTACAAAGGCACGCGAGCAATTTGACGTGTCGAAAAATATTTTTACAATGGCGCAAACGTTTTGCTGAATGCAATACTTGGATGAAATTGCAACAATAAATTTCCGAGGAAATAGGGCCGGAGAAGAAAGGGCAAAAAAAAAGGAGAATAAAGAAGTCGCTCGTTGCATTTTCACTTCAATGATTCATGACGGAAAATATTTACAACTATGGAATGCTCCGGCGCACGATATAAGACATTGAAATATTCTCCGTTTTCAGCGACATAAATTTTCATTTTACCTCGCCCCTCCCCCCCACCCCCTCAAACCTACCCTCGGGCTTCCAACCACCCCAACAGCAACTTTACCACTTTGTATGCTATATGTATATGTAGTCTCCGTTGAAAATCTGGCGTTTACTTCTCATCTTTTGAAAATGCATTTCATAAGTCTGGAAAAAGTTTTTCAATGCGATACAAGCAACAAATACGCAGTAAAAATACATTTCGAAAAAACAGATAAAAAATAAAGTATGCATGAGTATGGAAGAGACGAAGATAAAATGCGTGGGTGGTCGTCTCAGCGTATTGACGTTGAGACCTCGTGACCCATTTTTCGTTAATATAAGGGAAGAGGAAGTAGAGAGGGGATGGGGGTAAGGGATCGGAACGTGCAGATTTTTCGCGAGCGCATATAACTTTTTACGAGTTTCTCTATCTTTTTTCTTCTTTTTTTTTCTGTGTGTTGCAATCGAAATAAATGTGTTAACAAATACGAGTCTCTAAAAAAAGTGGCATCATGAAGAGCGTATGCCTCATTATAGTATGTGCCCACTGCTTGTATATCACCTTCTACATTTCAACTTCACGTAAGTGTCACACTCTAAACCAAAACATTAAATTTTCAGGGTTCAAAGGACAAAATGTGGTATTTTCATCCTTTTGAAAAGAATAAAATAGTATTTTCGTACTTTTTAAAGAAGTAAACTTATTTTACACTTTTATAAAGAATAAACTTGTGAATTAAAACTTTCTTAAAAGACTATATTGAGTTTCATTCTTTCGTAAAGTACAAAAGATGGAATAAAATATAAGTTCTGTGATTTGGTCTTCTTCTGTCCAAATTTAATATTTTCGTTCGAAGTGTTATAGTATCTAGGAGCCTCTCTATGAATATGTGTACAAAAATAACAAAAACATTAGGAATAAATATTAATAAACTATACGTACATTTACAAACAGGCAGTATGTTAATCGTTATCGATCTCAATTAGCCAAGCCTACTTATAGCGATCGCGATAAAAGCGCGTATTAGAAAACAACTATTTGTCACTTATGCATCATGTATAATAATATATTTTTACTTTATAGAGGTTTCTAGATACTACAACAATTTTCCTTACACTTCCAGCTCGTGGAATATCAGTTATCTTGGTTTTTTTCTACTTTTTTTTTTATTTCCTGTACGTGAGCTGCAAACGCACATATATACTCACACGTTCAGCAAATACAAATGCGAATTGTATTTTTCGGCTTACTCGTGTTACGCTGGCTAGGGGTTAGAAAGTGGAACAATTCGATTAATTACAAGCTATCTCCTCCTCCTCCTTTTTCTCTATCTTTCTGCGAATAGAAGAAAAGTTACACAAAGAGAGTACAAGCTTAACTTGCTCGGTATATTTTCTTGACGCGTATAGTTTATTTATTTCTTGTTTGTTTGTTTATAGCTATAGTTATTTCTGTATATATTTACTAATTTTTATCTAACCTTTATCTGTAGATGGGCCTATTTGCGCAGCTAAATTTGAAGAAAGACAATAGAAAGGAATGTTTAAGAAATGGAAAAATTGATTCGAGACGTGCAAAAATGAGCCTCGAGCGAATACAATGGGATCTTTGTAATACGTCAAAAGTGGTCTACACGCGTCAACACGCAATATCTCGCGTTGCTCTCGCACCATAGTATACGCGGATACACACGAACGGGCAAACTTTCTCTCCCATCCCACAAGCTGGTACTACACACCGCTACCACTGTACGAACATATATATATATATTATATACTCGAGTATACATGATACACCACACGGTAGACTTTTTTTCGAATTCCTCGCGCTTGTTTGCCTATTTTCCTCCATCTCTCCTTCTCTGTGGTATTCGTATGTAAAATTGCGCATAAATGCCAAGGTATCTCGTTAATAATGCCTCGTACGGTATTTACTCTCTCTCTTTCTCTTGCTTTTTATTTTTTTCCCCCTTGTCTCTCCTTCTTTCCTCTCTTTCAGGCTGATAAACACTTTCTTGCTATACGCATGTGTGTTTTCCCACTCCAAGGGTACAGTACACGCGCAGTGAAATCTCTATCTCGGCAAGAGCTGATGATTTGCCATTTATACCGCGGCAGCTGTATAAATTGTCAGGACACACGCACTTGTACGCGCAGTGTATCTGTAGATGCACGCTGACGACCGGACATTTTTCTCTCGGCTGATTTATTCGTTCATTTATTCGAAAAGCCAGTCTATTCGTCTCCCTCGAGATGCTGTGCGTGGCTACACGTATACTCGTTGCATTAACTCGTATTTTAATAATAATATGTAAAAAAAGAAAAGAAAAACCACAATACTCTAGTGGTGTTGCTGCCATACTGTGTCTGAGCATACATCACTCTTCGAGCGAGAGCCGTGGACGAAATTTATAATTTTTTAGCACTGGACGGAAGCCAGCAATCTCTTTGTGCTCCCCTTCGTAGGTACCCCCCCCACCCCCACCCTGGACGAGGAAAAATGCATAAAAATTTATCGACGTATATACCGTGAAAAAAAGTCGTAAACTGCTCGCAATGTGTATAATCGATATCGCGTCGCCACGTCGCTTTGAAATAGATTCGTTTTCCAAAGGATGACGCCAAAAAAGAGGAGAACAAACAGACAGGCAGACTATGGGAATAGGAGACGAAAGAAAAAGATGGATATTTGGAAATAAAAAAAAAAAAAAAAAAAAAAAAAAAAAAAAAAAAAAAAACGAGAGAGGGAATTGAAAAAATAGAGCAAGAGAGGTTGTGGGTATAAGTCGATTTGTGAAAGTGGAATGGCAAGATGGCCGACGATGAATGGATTCCCTAGCGGCGACTGGCACTGTGTATGCGTTTGCACGTTAGCAAACATGCCTCGTTGTTGTGAAGTCCGTGTATTTGAATTAGATTTACTGTAACGCAAGAAGCAGTCTGGGATGAGAGTTTTTCTTTTCACGTCTAGTACTGTTAATACTTGAGATTGCTCGTGATGGATCGAGCCTGTGTTTTTGCATCGTGCTGATACTGAAATTTATCGTAATGTTGATTATTGTAATAAAACAATTAAAAGTATGTGCTATTGTAAATCGTTTACTTTTCAAAATGTTTTTTTACAAACAGTAAAATTGATACGTGTACGGTGATACATTTACAAATGACGGTGTGTGCATTACTACATCGATCGAGTACTATCGACTTTCGAGTTGCGCAATATTTTTATTTTATTAAAGAACAGCGTTGCATAACTATTGTTGTTCAGCTCTGAAAAATGCTTGGACTTTTGTACACAACGCCGATTCCGTGAAATAAATTATGATGCAAAACACGCGAACGGCAGACAAAAATGAGAAAATTGTTGATTGAAATATAACCTTGGCTTGGATTGCTTGAGAAAATCTTGTATTGTAATTACTTGAGTGCAGAAACTAGCTTTGTTCGGACTAACGTTATTTTTCACTATTTTTTTCTGAGCGTTTATTCATGTATATACACGTGGAGTGAATATAATACGCCAATTATTATTATTATTTTTTTTACTGGACTTATGTCGCGATGCACATGCTTTTAACTTTCGTATTTTACTGGTTCAAATTTTCAAACAACAAAACTTTTTGATTGAGACTCCTTTACTCCTGTCACTTTTGTAAAATATATATTTAGTTCAAATGGAAAAAAGTACATATGCGTAGAGCGTGAGGGTACGAGAAAAATCAATACGTCAAATCACTTTTGCTCAGTGACATAAAATATTTATAAGAAAAACCAGTAATGTATGCGCATCTACGTTCATGCCTTAAATATTTATACGCAATTTTAAAATTCATGAATTTTAATGGGTCACTTACACACGCGTGTCTAGTCTTTTAATGCTTATTTTTACATTAACGTCACGTACAAATGTTTCTTGGTTTATTTTTTTTTTCTTCAAATTTTATTTTTTTTTATGATAATCAAAGTTTATTTTTGTATCGTCACAATGTCACTGCATGAATAGCTGTACGCGTTAGCCTCAAAACACGACGCAAAACTCTCCAACGTCCAGAAATATTTTCATTGTTCTTCCATCTCGTAAACACTTTTATCACCTCCTATTTATAACCTTTGTTATTTTCAATTTTTTTTTTCTTTCTATTTCTAGCCTCCGTATTTCAAAAACTTCATTCAGAAAAACTCGAGCAACACAATAGGCAAAGTTGTTGTTTTTTTTTTTTTTTTTATTTTTTTTATTCGAAAACACAAATCCCAAATGTTGCCATGGCACTGCAGAGTTGTTTGTCACGAAAGTCACCCGCATCATCTTTGACAAGATTTATTTATATATGGGCTTTTGTCCCCCTCGAGCCCTGCATCTGCGTCGACACATATTTTATCCAGTCTTTTCCCCGAATGAACTTCATACTCTACTCCAGAGCACGCTCATACAGCGCGATTCCCGTTTTGCTCGACAAAATCAAAGCAGGTAAGCAACTTTTCTACTCGCGTTCGTCCGACCAATCCCAAGGGAACGTATAGTAAAGTACGTCATGTCATTAAAATATTTCAATAAGTCATCTCATTGCCCGGCCAAACAATTTACACGCGCATAACTACAAAACATCAGCCGTGAAACCATCCTCCACGCGCAGGATCCCGCTAAATGAGAAATCCTAATAGCCGCGCTGCTGAGTCGTCGCGGCTTTTTTTTTTTTCTCAATTTACCGCAACTATAATTAGCACGGCACGGTATAGGTTCGCGCGTATACAAACGATGACTGGGCGCTCGTACTTCCCGTTCGATGGAATATACGTGTACACGCGTGACTTTTGTCGATTCTGCCCAACGCATCCGAGAGCAGGGGAGGAGCGAGGAATCCACGTATACGTGTTTTTACAATAGGGGAGGTCGAAGGAAATTGGATTTAGTTTGATTTAATAACTTATTCATGCAGAGAGAGTTTTGTCAATATTGCCTGCACTGTGTTTTATGTTCTTTCATCATACATATAGGTACATGTAATATATTTCTTCGATCGCGGTGGGTATAAACGTGGAAATGTTTTATTTCGCGTCGATGCAAATCAGTTGTTTGTTTTTGTTATCGTTTTGTAAAAGTGATTGAACATTTTTACGGGAAGGAAGGCCGCGCGTTTGCAAAATTCGCGATTGAATCAACTTTGAATAAATACAATTATATAAACAACACGACCGTGGGGTATAATCTAAATATTCCCGAGTTGTACAAGCCATAATGCATTAATCACAGGAGTAGCAAGCGCGCATCTGCGACATCAAAAAAAAGCAATAAAAAAACAGAAGGGTACAAGATAACGAGCACATCAGAAATCCATTCGAAGCATACAACACTCGGTTTGTTGTTTTTTTTTATTTATTTTTTTTTTTGTTCACAAACAAAGAGCACACCATTAACCCGCTGCGTCATTTGCTGCCGCAATTCCTTGTCTTTCTCATCCCTTCCCTTCTCCGATCTACTTTCGCGTTGCATGTATATATACATCCTCTTACCGGGTAATACCTACCCAGTTCGCCGAATGGAACAACAACTGGAACTAAAATAATAAAGCTTCGGCTGGGTA